ACATATTTTTCTTTTTCTTCTTTTTTTGATTTCCAAATGTCTGAAATATCTAAACTTTGTTTACTCTTTATCCACCATCTGCATTTATTTTGTAGAAAATCTTGTCGCACGCTCGATGTGGAGAAACTTTACATTTCCCGATTATATATAGAGAGTTTCACAAACAGACACATTGAAAAATTTTCAAGGAACACCTGATGTCTTGATTCGAAAAGTTTTCGACATCTCTGAGTGATTGTAGCGCTTGAGTTGCAATGATGTATATTACGATTTCTCATTTTTGCTAAATAGAGGAGTACGATTTGAATATAATGATTTACGCATGTCTCCTTATTTATATCCTCAAGAGACTAGTAGTCTGACTATACCCCCAGGTAGAATATCTCGGATATTATACCCTAGGGGTTGCTTATATCTCATACATATACCTATATGCGTCTCTGAAATTGATGTGCAGCAATATCACCAAAATTGTATGTAAAAATATATATCTTACATTTTTTATTCGCCACTTCTGATTCTGTTATCAACGGGCACACAAACGGTCGCATTTAAAAATAATCGTGCACAGCACGTCGACACTGACATTTACGTTAAATTAAAAATTAGTCTCTCTCTTTTATCATTAACGCTACAGTAACGCCGTTGTCACGCTCGAATATAACGTTAATTAATCCAGAGAAACATTAGCCGAGAAATCGTGTCGCGCGATGTACTCTGATAGACGTCGTGATGATTACTTTTCTTCCCGGTCATTTCTTCTCTCTGTTATTCATAAATGTGTTCACAGCATGTCCACGCACTCTGGAAATGGAAATTCTATTCATTAACACTGTCATACTAATTGTTTAATTGCAATACTTATAAAGTCTCTCTCTTTCTATTTCAGTAAAATACCTTTTCCAATATACCGTGTGCATAAATAAAGTTAATCGTATATGTTATAGAAAGTGCGCAAAGAGAATTGAATGTAGGTATAACGTACCACAGTATATCATAATTTCATTTATATTTGTCATCAAAGATAAGCTATTTTTGTAGTTATTCTTTCCTTCATTTTTCATGTGACTCAGCAAATTATTAAAAGTAATAAAGGGTCAGTAATGTGATAACAAATTCGAAGAAAGAAAGCTAACGCCATTATAAGCACGTATTTGTAATTAATCAAATTATTTTATTAATAAGGAGTGTACATAAGTCAAGAATAAACAAACGTTTCGACTATCAATTTTTGGTCTTCCTCAGTCTTTGATTTTGCTCATATAATAACAAAAAAAAAATTTTACAAAGTGATCATATAAATGTTCTAACTAGGTTAATTTATAAATAATCTCAAGGTCTCAACTTGCAAAACGACTGTAAACCTTTAAATGCTTTATATAATGATTTATTAATAATCTTATTAATCAGAATTGTGATGTTTTTTCATTTTAATTTATAATTTATAATCTTTAAATTTCAATTTTAATTTAATTTCAATTTGTAATTTAAGTTTGAAATTAATCGTTCATTTAATACATAATTATAATTCCAATTAAAAATTTTTTAATTGGCATAATATATAAACTACAATGTACTTACTTATAAATTTATAAACGCCACTTTGTTATTTAATTTGAATATCATTCTTAATCTTTATGTATATTAGTCTTGCTGTGACAAATAGTTATCATCACTTTTGTTGAAACTGTCTAACTATATGACCACAGTCTGTCAGCGTGATTTAATTTATCATAATTTAATTACAACAATAATTATGTCTGTGACTTGTTTAAGATATGGCCAATTTATTAGTATGACAAGTTTACGAAAATTTTTCCTCATTTAATATATAAGAATTAATTTGTCTGCTTCATTATATTACAACGTCTTATGTTTTTATAACTTTTACAATTAGCTGTATCTATATTTGCTCTCTACGTTCAAATTGAAACTTTCGGATTGTTTATCTTTAATATTCGCATTATGTTGAAAAACAACAACGCACAAATTGACGAAGATTTTTTTCGAGTTTTGTAATATTAATCTAGTTAGAGCATCTATCATGCTTAAAAATAAGCAAACGTTTCGATCAGTAGGTTTTGGTCTTCCTCAGTGTTTATGTGCTAACAAAAAAAAACATATATATATATATATATATATATATATTTATACACACACACACACACACACACACACTCCTTGATAATAATGTAATTTAGTTAATTACAAATACGCACTTATAATTTATAATAGCATAATATCGGCTCATTATATCTTTCTTTCCTCATGATTCAACAAATTATGTTATTTATATTCAAACATTTTCTTAAATCTTTTGTTTGTAAAATAAAATTTTGAATAAAATTGTTTAAATAATGAATTCCTAGGCAACTGTTGATTTTATTACATGTTTATATCGTGAGTTAAAGTCATCATTCTGCTATACTACTAACAAATCGACATGAAAACTCCCACGACATTCCCATTCGTCCGAAACGTCTGAGAGAAATCGCATAGACTTCGCAAACTACTAACTCGATGCAACACGACTGTGCAACTACTAACTTTGCGTTTTGCGAAACTGATATTAAATTATAAAACTGAGTGCCTCTTGTACTCAAAATTGCAATCAGACATTTCTTGCACTTGTGACACTATCATTGAATTCTTATCTTCATTTTTATATTTTTAAACTCAATTCGAAGTTAAGTATTCATCACAATTGGTATAACGTTTAACTTAACATGTTTATAATTCAGTCAGTAATCAAGATAGTAATTATAATACTGTATATCACGATTCGTTATTTGATTTCTAACACTATTTATTATACAAACGAAACGTCATAATACGGGAAACCGAATGTCTCCTGCAGAAACCGAATAAAATCTGTAGAATAGTTTAACACGAAATCAATACATGTTAACTTCTTATATCCTACCGTTTTGGGTTAAGTCAAATACAGGTCAGTTAAAGAGTGAGTTATTGCAGTTGTCAAAAATATAGACAATATTTATCTATTTCTCAATATTGTTGCTAAAAAAATATTTGTTTTTAATTTCATACTGCGCTTTGTTTTCTTTCATAACATTTATTTTATTATTGCTTTAATGTTGAAACGAATTCAACATAAGTGCGTGTTTTTGGGAAAGGTATTATTATTATGGTTCTAGACAAACATATTTATCATATAATAATCGACTGTATTATTAGATATATGTAGATATATTGCGTCGTGAAAATCGATCTATTTACCTCAATATTTAATTGCAATCAATCACGATCACGCTTTGGAATAGATTTTCATATAGATTTCCAATATAATGTAAGTCTTTTAACACATTCAGTTTACCGCGCGATACTTCACTAATGGCAAAAACTAATGGATTTTCCTTTTTTTTTTCTACATCGAGTTGACGAAACGTGAGAAAAAGTTTCCTGCAGAATTTATTTTCTAATATAAATTGATTAATATTTCATCAATTTTTACAACTCCTCGATAGTCTGTGTTTATACAACTTTCTCGCTTCATGCTTTCTGTTTCTCATCCTATTTATTTATTAATTAATAAAAAGCTATTTATAAATTGCGTACACAAAATGTACAAAGTTTTTTCTCTACACAATAAATTCCTGCTCCGTACAGGATTATTACGAATAGATGCCGCTGATCGATATATGTTGTAATACTGACCATTTGATAAGCAAATAAAATAAGACGAAAGTTAATTGAAATTATGCAAGCGGAAGCGATTCCTTCGACGCATGAAATCCGCTTATGATAAAGTTATTGCGCAGTTATCATAAATTTCGTGGCCGTGGCCGGTAACGGGACGAAAATAAAA